AATATCTTTTTCCATTCTTTTACTTAAAAAAAAAATGTATACACACATTGATTTCAGAGAAGAAGGGAGAGAAAGAAAGATAGAAATATCAGTGATGAGAGAGAATTGTTGATAGGCTCCTTCTTGCACGCCCCCCACTGGAGACTGTGCCTGAAGCCCAGGTATGTGTGCTGACTGAGAATTGAACCTTGACCTCCTAGTTCAGTGGTTCCCAAACTTATTTGGCCTACCGCCCCCTTTCCAGAAAAAATACTTCCTAGTTCATAGGTTGATGTTCAATTACTGAGCCACCCTGGCTGGGCACCTTTGCCATTTTAATTTTGATGTGTCTTCATGTGGACCTGGAATTGGTCTTGAGCTGAGAGAGGTGCTGGGATGCCAACACCACACCAACACCTTCTCCTTGAGAGCTCAGGGCAGAGGGAACTGAAAAAGGGTCAGCTCTCCCTGTGTGGTTTTAGGGTGTCCATGTTATGTGTGAGCCCCATGGGGTCAGATCATGCCTCTTATCACCTAACTCATGTCTGGGGTTCCCTTCTGGGGAACATCCAGTGACGTGCAGGGAGGAGACCTGGTTCCTGGAGGAGGGCCCTGGAACCAGGCCTGTTATCAGACCCCAGTGTACCCCTTACCTGCGCCTGCAGGAGGAACAAAGTCCTGAACCACTTCAGCATCATGCAGCAGCGGCGGCTCAAAGACCAAGACCAGGACGAGGAGGATGAGGAGAAGGATAAGCGTGGCCGCAAAAAGCCCAGTGAGCTGCGCATCCATGACCTGGAAGACGACCTGGAGATGTCGTCTGATGACAGCGAGGCCAGCGGCGAGGAGGGTGAGCCTGGGCAGAGCCTGCCCTGGTGGCTGGAGTGTTCGGCACAGCTGCCTAAGTCGCGCTTGAGTCTTACTTTATAAGGTAGTTGAGTGACAACACAGTGATTAATGCCGTTGAAAAAAACAGTTTACAGTTTCCTGGGAGATGAGAGGCAGGCACAACATGCCATGCAGGGCCACTTGCGGAAGCACCAGAATGAGTTGGAAGCAGAAATGAGTGATGGGCCCTGGCCGGTGTGGTTCAGTTGGTTGAGTGTCATCCCATGCACTGAAAGGTCTCCAGTTCAATTCTCAGTCAGGGCACATGCCCAAGTTGCAGGCTCGATCTGTGATTGGGGTGCATGCTGATTTATGTTTCTCACATCATTGTTTCCCCTCTCTCTTTTCCTTCCTCTCTCAAAAAAAAAATCAATAAAAACATATTTTAAAAAAGATATGGTGGGATCCACCAGTTTGAATCATTCCAGGGGCTCTGGGCTCCAAGAGTGATTTAGTGCAGAAGACAGTGGCCGTCAGTGTGAGATTGGAGAAAGGCTGTGGCCACGGGGTATAGATCCCAGATTGGTTTGGTTTGCACATGAGAGGTGTTGCCCCTAGGCAAGCCCTTTGCTTCTCTAAGAATTGGCCATCTCCCCCTTTGTCAAGGCCTGAGGTGTCCCAATGTCCTTGAATATACAAACCCTGATGAGTGCTCAGCCCCCCTCCACTTCCCCAGGTGTCAAAGCCCCCAAGGCCAAGAAGAAGGCACCGATGACTAAGGCAGGCCGTAAGAAGAAGAAGAAGAAGGGGTCAGATGATGAGGCCTTTGAGGACAGTGATGATGGGGACTTTGAGGGCCAGGAGGTGGACTACATGTCTGATGGCTCCAGGTGAAGCAGGCGGGAGGCAGGCGTGAGACCCTGGGACAGCCTGGAGGAAGAGCTCACTCACCCTCTGCTCACTCTGGTGTTGCAGCAGCTCTGATGAAGAGCCGGAGGGCAAGCCCAAGGTCACCCAGCAGGAGGAGGGTCCCAAGGGCGTGGATGAGCAGAGCGAAAGCAGTGAGGAGAGTGAGGAGGAGAAGCCTCCTGAGGAGGACAAGGAGGAGGAGGAGGAGAAGAAGGCACCCACCCCACAAGAGAAGAAGCGGAAGAGAGGTAGGCTTGGCTTTCTAGGCTTCTGTCCCCTCTGCCCCTTACTAGATCCCCTTATCGGAGATAGAGCTGAGGATGGGCGTGGGTGCCTCTGATCCCGACAGCTCTTCTTTGTCCCCATACAGACAGCAGTGATGAGTCTGACAGCTCAGAAGAGAGTGACATTGACAGTGAGGCCTCCTCAGCTCTCTTCATGGCTGTAAGACGCAGCCAGGGTTGGGAGGAGGGATGTCCGCCCTGGTGTCTGTTTCCAGACTCACGTCCCCAACCCTAAAATTTGCAGAAAAAGAAGACTCCTCCCAAGAGAGAGCGGAAGCCATCAGGGGGCAGCTCAAGGGGCAATAGCCGGCCAGGCACACCCAGCACAGAGAGTGGCAACACCTCCTCCACCCTTCGGGCAGCTGCCAGCAAACTGGAGCAAGGTGGGTGGCCTTCCCGTCCCACTGCAACCTCCTGACCTTTGTTCTTGTGTGCACTGAGCATCAGGATCTGAGGCCAGATCAAGGGGCAGACACCTATCTGCCCCTGAGCTCCTTGTATCCATAATCTAGGCACCACCCGGCCTGGGGTCTCCCAACACGTCCAGTGTCACATTTCTAAAACTCAGCCTGGCCTCTGCTCTCACAGGAAAGCGGACAAATGAGGCGACAGCAGCTAAGCGGTTGCGGCTGGACAGTGGACCCCAGAGCCTGTCTGGGAAGTCGACCCCTCAGCCCCAATCTGGGAAGTCAACCCCCAGCAGTGGGTAAGTTGGTGAGGACAGCAGGGGCAGGAGGGGACCACTGGGAAGGAGGGCCACCCACTAACCTCCCCACTCTCCACTGCGCTCCAGTGACGTGCAGGTGACTGAGGACGCTGTGCGCCGCTACCTGACACGGAAGCCCATGACCACGAAAGACCTGCTGAAAAAGTTCCAGACCAAGAAGACAGGGCTGAGCAGCGAGCAGACAGTGAACGTGCTTGCCCAGATCCTCAAACGCCTAAACCCTGAGCGCAAGATGATTAACGACAAGATGCACTTCTCCCTCAAGGAGTGAGGGGCTGGCCCCCACCCTTTTGCCCAATAAATAAGCTCATCTCCAGAAGTTCATGGGCTCTTGAATTCCACATACTCATTGCTGTGGGTCCAACTGTCCAATTGTCACCCTGCTCCCTGAATCCCAGGAGCCAGCATTAATAAGTTGGAAAAACCTAAGCAGCATTCTTCTCAATTTACTTCTCTTATTCTCCCCCGCTCCTCCTTCTAGAGCCTTGAGATGTCTCTCAGAACTTATTTTGCACATGGGGTGATTTCTTCAGGTCTGTCTTCCACTTTGCCAGTTCTCTCTTCAGCTGTTTCTTTTTCAGATCAGCTGGTCTGTGTGTTTTGTTTTTTAAAAAATTTTATTGATTTCAGAGAGGAAGGGAGAGGGAGAGAAACAATGATGAGAATCATTGATTGGCTGCCTCCTGCATGCCCCCCACTGGGGATCAAACCAGCAATCTGGGCATGTGCCCTTGACTGGAATCAAACCTGGGACACTTCAGTCTGCAGGCTAACACTCTACCCACTGAGCAAAACTGGCTAGGGCTAGTTTAAAATGTTTTTATTGATTTTAGAGGAGAAACATCTATCAGAGAGAAAAATATTGATTGGTTGCCTCTTGTACACACCCCAGTGGGGGACCAAAACTGCCACCTGGATGTGTGCTCCGACTGCTATCAGACTGGCAATCCCTGGTGCCCAGGGTGATGCTCAACCAATGAACCACTCGGCCAGGGCCGCTGGTCTGTTCTGAGTGTTTTGTCCTTAATGTGTGTGTGTTTTTTAAATATATTTTTATTGATTTCAGAGAGAGAGAGAGAAACATCAATGTGAGGATCATTGATTGGCTGCCTCCTACACGCCCCACATGGGGGATCAAGCCTGCAACCCAGGCATGTGTCCTGACTGGGAATCTGACTGTGACCTCCTGGTTCATAGGTCGATGCTCAACCACTGAGCCACGCAGGCTAGACTGTCCTAAATGTTTTTCATCCCTTTCACATTTTTATTTTAAGCATCTTAGTTTTCATCAGACACATCAGCACCTGAAGCTCACAGGCTTCCTGTTCTATCTCCTGACTGGTCTTCATGATTGATTGTAATCTTGGATAGGGGAACTGGTGGCCAGCTTGGGGCTCTCTCTGTGGGACTCCTGGATGGTCTACAGGCCGGTCCTTGTAAATGGGTTTTGCCTTTGCTCCCACCAGGTGCCCCACGAGTCCCAGCCTGAGCCCATTTGGGATGGTTCTCAGCTCAGGGCTCTGTCCCTTACATGACAGTGAAAACCCAAACCCCTTTTATTGCTGATGTTGGCACCTTTCTCAGCTTCCCAGTGATGTTTCTGGGGCTTCCCTTTCTTATAAGTTGGTTATGCATTTATTTTTTCCAGCATTGGTAGATGTTCTGTAGTGGGAGGACTGTTCAATTTCAGGGACAATAATGCTGCTGGAAATGAAATTTGGCAGCAGGTGCTACTTTTGAACCCCTATCCCAAATGATCCAGATTTCTATCTTGCCCTTGGCTGGAAACTGCAGGTGGAAAACTTCCCCACCCAGTTCCACAGGACCCTGGCTGTTGAATGGAAATGCCTGAGATGTCAGGCTAATTCCTAGGAATGTCCCAGGTTGGTCCAACCTCCCTCCCCATACATCCGCCAGGCCTTTTTGGGGCAGCAGGAAAGATGCCCTTTGCCCTGGGATTTTTACCCCTCTACTCGGCCATGTGGACTGTGACCTACCAGTAAAGCCATATGCCTCAGTGGTTAGGAGCAGGGACCGTGTGTTCAGGACCTGGGTTCAAATTCTACCTGTGTTTAATTCTGGTGACTCTGGACTACTACTGAAAGTAGTCTCAATAGGTACTGCAATAAGAACAACCACACCAGCCCTAATCGGTTTGGATCAGTAGATAGAGCTTCGGCCTCCGGACTAAAGGGTCCTAGGTTCCATTCTGGTCAAAGGCATGTTCCTTGGTTACGGGCACATCCCCTACGATGTTTCTAACTCTATCCCTCTCCCGTCCTCTCTGTAAAAAAATCAATAAAATGTATTTTAAAAAAAAGAACCGCCACACCAAATTAGTGAAGCAATCCCCTGTATGTAGAGTTCTGGTCATTTCTCATCTTTTGCTGATAGAAAGCAGTGAATAGCCCTGAGTTTGTGTCTGTTCACCTGCTAAGCATAAATTCCTGAAACAGTTTTGGGGTCAAAGGGATGGGATTTGCAGTTTCAGTATCAACTGCTACCAACTTACACTCCCATCCACAGTGTGGGGATGCACCTATGTCATGCGTGCACCCCAGCCATGGGAAAGCAAGCTCTGATTTTCCAATCTTGGGTTCCGAGTCAAGTTTTAACTCAATCTCACCTGTGTGAGGTCGAGCACCTCTTCAAACATGCAAAAGCTACTTGAATTTCCTTTGCCTCAAAAGCTCTCCCAAGCTCCTCAGTGCCAAACACCATGTTAATCACTGTCCTCAGAACCTCATGTGGGAGGGACTGATTAGCCTCCTTTCAGAGGTAAGGGCCAGTCTCACTTCCCAGGGGCCACAGGGGCAGGGTATGGAAGTCACTGTGACTTGCAACTGCCTCCAAGACCCAGTGGGAGCCAACATCCCTTCGTGCTGATGCTCTGGACACCGGGACGGGCTGAGTCCCAGGGTCCTAGGTGGCCCTTCTAGAGGCAGGGGTCCCTGCAGGGTGAGCTTCCGGCCCCGTGTGTCCCAACACTTGGCTGTCCTGGAGCCTCTCCCTTTTCCTGTTTTGACACTGGCTCAGCCAGGCCCAGACACAGGGGCATGACGTCTTAATCCTCTAGGCTGGAGCCATGATGGATGAGTCCCCATTAGCTAATTCACCTGCCAAACCACCTCTTCCCTGCTCCCGCTCCCTGACCCCCAACATATCCATTCCACCTGGTGCCCAACACAGGGGCTCCTGAGCCTCAGCACCCTGCTTGAATGGGAGGGGGCCCCAGTGGGGGACCCACAGAACCTCCCCCGCCACCTCTCCTTCCAGATGGCAGGTGGGACAGTGGGGCAGGGACCCTGGTTGCTCATCCTGGGCTGGGCCCTGGCTGCCGCTTCAACTCTTAAATCAAGGTGCGGAGGGGGTGTCAGAAATCTATGGAATGTCTGGATGAGGGGGTGAGCCCTTAACTCTTAGAAGGAAAGAATGTGGGACAGGGAGTTGGCCTGCCTGGGTCTGAGGATGTGGGAGACAAGCTGGTGGGGGACATGGGGCCTTCGTGCCCATACAGCATCCGGCAGGGAAGAGGTTATTTCCCAGCCCAGATGGGGATAAATTGAGAGTGCAGGACCTCTCCATCCTCAGAACCTGTTCGTCACAATGGCCACAGGAAGAGTCCTGCTCGGCTCTCTGCTGTTCCTATCCCTGCAGCTGGGCCTCGGCGGGAACCCGAGTACGCCAGGGGCTCCAGTGGTGGAGGGAACACTCTCGCCTGAGCCAGCAACAGACATGGGGACCTGGAAGGCACAGCTGAGTAAGGACCCCCAGCACCCCGTGTGACTCCCCAACTCCTTCCCGGCCAACCCCTGACCACTGTCGACTGCCCCTTGTTCCCACCCAGGTGCCCGCCTGCGCCGAGCCCCAGCCGGCCCCTGCCAGCTGCGGAGCTTGGCCCTGCCAGTGGTGGAACTGGGCCTGGGCTATGCTTCAGAGGAGATGATCATCTTCCGCTACTGTGCTGGCAGCTGTCCCCGAGGTGCCCACACCCAGCACAGCCTGACGCTGGCCTGGCTGCGGAGCCAGGGCCGAGCACACGGAAGCCCCTGCTGCCAGCCCACCCGCTATGCTGACGTGGCCTTCCTGGATGATCACCACCGCTGGCAGTGGCTGCCCCAGCTCTCAGCGGCTGCCTGTGGCTGCAGTGGCTGAGGATGCCCAGACGGGGCCCTGCAGCCACCCCAGAGGTCTGATGACTTATTTATTGGAGACCTGGATGCCCAGAAGATGAGAAGATGGGGTGGACTGGGGATGCCAGCAAGGGACACAATAAAGGAAATTGATCCTGGGGTCTTGTGATTCTGTGTTCAGTAGGGTGCTCCTGACCTTGTCATCTTAGTTCCTGGTTGGTGGGCAGGTAGGGTCTGGGCTTCCCTTGCAGATCCCAGCCCCAGCAAACAGCCAGTGCAAGGAAGGCCACCTTGTCCATTTCCTAGCTTTATTCACAAACAGTGTCCCTGAGAAGCTGGGCAAAGGGCCTGGGGGTCAGCAGGCTGGGGGTGGCTGCCCAGGCTCCTCTGGTCCTACCCCCTCAGGGAGGGAGCGGCAGATCACGGAGATGCGTCGGCCTCGGGGAACCCGAAGTTTCCCAAAAAAGGACTCTTCATCCCGAAGGATCTCATGGGAGAAGTCATAACGGGCAGAGTCTCTGAAAGAGAAAACAGAGGCTGTGACTGGGTAGGGTGAGGGCACCCCTGTTCCAGGCTAAGCGTCTGCTGTGTAGTGGATGGTAGTTTTCTGTGAGGGCTGAATGAGAGAAGGTGCTTGAAGTGCTGGGTAGTGTCTGACCAGTGATTAGTAGGGTGGTGGCTTCTTGGCGGGGCAGTACCTAAGGATGTACAGTGAGCATGGCTCCAGCAAGAGTTCTAGCCACTCCCCAGGCTCCTGGGTGTGTACCAGTCGCATGACACTGGGAGACAGCAGGGACAGGCCAGCGATGGTGGTTCCACAGAACTGGAAGAGGGAGCGGGGTGGTGGGTCAGGCTCTGGCCGGCCTGGCCCAACCCCAGCTGGGAGCTTCAAGCTGCAGGCTTCTGCCCACCTTGACGCTGTCAACGTGTGGCTTGATGTAGCCCCGAGGTTCCAGGTCCAGCACGTGCACTGAGGACAGCAGGGTCTGGCCTGGGCCAAAGGCGGCTGCCTGAACACGCTGCAGGATGGCCCGGCTTGCCTCTGACCAGCGAGACTTTTCTGTCTCTCGGAAGCCATGGATGGCCTGCAGAGAGAGCTCAGGTCAAGCCTGGAAACTCCCAAAAAAAAAAGAATGCTGAGCCAGGGGCTGGTTTCCTGCATGACCCCTGATCTCACCCTCAACTCACAAACTTTGTCCCATCTAAGCCATGATCTTTGGCCTCAGTCTTTTGTACCCAATCTCTGGCTCCAACTCAGTTCCAAATCCAGGCTCCAATGCTGGCCTTGCCCCAATATTCAATTTTGTGTCAGTTTTTGTCCTCAAACGGTGACCCTCCCTCACCTCCCCCACACCCTTCTCTACCTAACCTTGGTCCTGTACCCCAAACACCCTTCGGTTCCAGGTCCTGCCTCCAGTTATGGCCCTGCTCTCATCTTCAAAGACTCCAACCCCAGGCCCAAGGTCCTGCCCCCAGCCGTAGCCCCGCCCCACACAGCGCCACACTCCCGTCCCCACCGTAGCCCCGCCCCCAAAGGCCCCAGTCCTA